TGTAGAAAATGTTTTAGTCACAACTAGAAGATAGTTTCTGGCATATTCTCTTGTTTTTGAATTAACATATAAATGTCATACAGACACATATTTTCCTCATGAAGGTTGTGTTATTCGATCAGATACATCGTACAAAAATAGATCAACTGCAGAGCAGGATCAATTATCATTGATTTAGAAGCTATGAAAATGCTACTAATCATATGATTTGTTTTTCTATAATATATGTACTTTCCATAATCAAACTTTATAGATATTCATCTCTCTCATTCATATAAATCTGATCTAGACGTATTAAAACTAGATAAGATTGATTTTTCTGATAAAATTTTCTATGAATTGTTTTAAATAGATTACATAAAAATAATTCTTATAATCTATATTTGATTTTGTCCAATATTTATGCTCAATGATATTCTACATAAGTTTATTTAATTTTCTTTGTTCTAATTGAAAAATATTCTCTATTCTATTCACTTCATAAAAAGAAAAAAAGAATCGATCTATCATGAAGATAAGAATATGAAATAAAAATTTTTGTTCTTCTATCATTTGAACTTTACCGTTCACGCATTTGTTCTTCACTTTTTTGTAATCGTGCTATAGTTTCTTTTGATTTTTGTAATTCATTTTTTAATTGTTGTAAATCATTTTTTAATTTTTCTTTTTCATCATAATCAAAATTAATTGACTGTTGTTCCATATTTACTGTTGACATCGTTGATGCTATATTTCCTATAGAATTTATTGTTGTATTTAAAGGTGAAAGAGATTGAAGCGATGTAGCCGGTGGTAAAATAGATGTTAGTTGATGTTGAGCAATAGGTCCATTAGTTAATAGACGATTTCGTTGCTCACGTCCATTGATTGTTAAAGGTTGTAGTGGTGCTAAAAATAAATAAATCCAATAGAATATAAATTGATTAACAAAAACAAATCGAAAAAATTAAAAAAAGAAACATACATTTTGTTTTATCATAATACATGCACGATAAAGCTGTAGACATGACTGTTACTTTCCTCGATTCTATATGAATACTCGAAGTAAAAACAAAACAGATGTACACATATATAAGGATCAATTCGTTTATTTTCTTCTTTTTCTTCTTCGTTACAAAATAGAAAAAAGAAGAAGAAGAAGAAGAAAGAAGAAAAAAAGAAAGAATGCTCGAATTGCTAATACTTGAGATTGATGACGTCAAAATAGAGCAGAAATCGAGCTTGTAACAACAACGTACTTGCTGTCGTTGCTGGTATGTGTATATGCGTTAAAGTCTGTTTTTTTTACATGACGAGAATATGTCGATTGTCAATCAAAGTACTATTTATCGGATAATCTAGTTCTTCTTTCTTTTATTCTTGACTAGAGGCTATATACATATATATGTAACAGACAACGAATGGATAGAGTGGCATCTACAGCTGTCTATATTTCGACCTTTTATTTAAAAGACATTTATCAAACAATAGAAGAAAACAAGTGGTATTCATTGTTTTGATCTATACACATGTTTGATGTAATATAGTTTACAATTGACACTCATATCTTATTTGATATTAATCGTTGATAGATAAACTATAAATAGGTTTTAGGATATTCTATGATATCAATAATAAAATATTAAAGAGTATATCAAAATGATATTATTTATTATAAATACGATAATCGATTTATTTTGAAATATATTCAATACTTTGAGAAAATAAAATAAATGAAGGACTTTAACTTTTTTACTTTTAAGATTTAACAGTTATTATGATGGGTTTTCAAGTATTCTTATTGTGTAAATTATGTATTAATTGACAGAATACAAGTATTCTATGCTAAAACACTTAGATTATGCATTTACTCTGTTGTGTCTTTCAAGGTTTAATGTACTTAAGAAACACAATGATGACAAACATTCTAGTAGGATATTGACAGAAGCAATGTCTGACAAAATTTGTACTAAACTAGTAATTGCCTATCATGTCTTTTGGTTTTTCTTTTCTTGAAAAAAAAAAGAAACCAGATATACATTATAAAAATGTCATTTCTAATCAATAAAATAGTAAACAATGCTAAAAAAAGAAGAAAACTCTACTATTGAAAAAACTTTAGATATTGATGTCTTGTTTTATTTTCTTACGCATATAATCATCTGGATGATTGTTGTCTATCATAATATTTCTTATCGAACATTTTTCAATATCATTTGTCAAACGTTGATGACGACAAAGTAAAGTTGGTGTCATTGAAATTTTTGTATAAATATCTTGATGATTATTCATTGTTTGTTCATAAGTATTCAATGAATGACATGATTTCATCGTTGCCGATCGTTTGTTATAAAAACGTTCTTTATTTTTTCGTAATGATCGACGTAATGTATTGACAAAACCTTGTGATTTATTGCCATCGATCGAATTATTATTACAATTTAAAGGTAAACTAGATGAATCTATTTCATTGATTGACATTAATGGATCATTTGAATGTAGTTTTATATTTGTTGAAGTATTTATATTATTCATATTAGCTGGTATAGATTGTACTAGATTATTTGTAAGTATATTCTTATCACTTATATATTCTTGAATATTATTATTATTACTGGTATTATGTGTTGCCGGTAGATGAAAGCTTTTTGTTCTATTAAGATATTGTGCAGCTGTAGAAAGATATCGGTTGACAAGTTTGCTAGGAGGTTGTTGTTTTTGAATTTGAGTATTGATGACATGCGATTGTGGAGCATAAAAATATTGTAATCCAACAGCATTTGACATTTTTATTATGAGATTTTTTCGTTTTTTTTCTATGTGCTTCTTCAAATAGGATAAATATTGATATTGAATAATTTAGTCTTGATGGTATTGCCAATGAGATATGAAGAATAATTCAATATGATTAAAAATAGAACTTGAGTATGTATTATGCAAAAAAAAAAAAAGATGAGAAGTTATTGATGATGATATTGAATGTCGCAAGTGAATGAATGAAGCATTGAACGAATAGCAGAAAAAAAAATATGTATGCTATTCTCTGATGAAGTTCGGTAGACACGTTATATGGTAGAATATACAAGAAGTAAAGAGCGAGTACGTGTGTATATTTAGTAGAACGATATCTTTCTCTCGCTCTCTCTCTCGTTTTCTCTCTGTTCCATTTTCTATCTGTGTGACGTGTTACCTCTTTTTCTCGCCTTTCGCTTCACATACAAACGCGATATTTTATTAATGGATGAATGATAACTATAATCAAGCTCATTTGTCACTAGCAAAAGCTTAAGTTAGCAAATGCTTACATATTGGGTTATTATTTAATATCCAGAAAAATTACGTATATTGATTCTTTTTGTATAAGTATAAAAAAAAATTTGAATTTGTTACTCATGAATAATATCTAATATTCAATACTATTAGTAACGAAAAAGAAAAGACAAATCATTGTAACCTTGATTGTTGTTATTTTTGGCATATTGATGTTTGTTTTTTACATTCATTGTTTATATGAGAACATTAGTAGAAATAAAAAGGAGCAGCATCATTTTATGCTTCAATCGGCTTTTTGACCCTTCTTCACATCATTATATGCAAATGCTATGAGGTAAATATTCCCGACTGAGCATAAGAATAACTCAAGATCCAATCAGGCGGAGAAGAAAATAATGTCCTACTGATGTTCTCTCCCTTTCTGTATTATTTGAGTAATCAGGCGAAGAATATATATGTATGCTCTTTCATCTTTGGTCAGTATAGGCACAATGACAAGAAATTATATCCTATTGAAGATAAGCGAAGAAAAAAAAAATGAAGGCTATTAAATATCTCTAAATGCATTTTCTAATATCATATATTAGAAGACAAAAAATGCAGAATATTGAACTATGTGATGTATATACAGATGTTACAGAAATCTAATAGAGTATGACCTTATCTTGTCAAAGAAACAAATACTCTCATACATACATATATCTTCGTCGCCAACGTCGCGTCTACATATCAATGTCATTAAGATATATTGCATATATCTATTGGTATTTACTTTTTGTTGTTATAAAAAGAATATTATCACAGAAGAGAAAAAAAAAATTATGAAAAAATTTTTTTTTTTTTGTAAATAAAATTAATTTAAATTTTAGTATTAATCAAGTGATAATATGATTAAATAAATGATAATTGTTTTGAAAAAAAAAAAAAAATTTCGATGATTTTTCATATATTATATTGCTATCAACATAGATTAAACTTTTATCTACAAGTCAATATATATTAACAACAGTTATTTGCCTAAACTAATCTGATTACAGAATTGTATTATTAAGTTTGTGACAGTTTTTCAATTAACATTCTCATCTTTCAAGATCATCTTGTCTTAGTATTAGACTTGTATAACAATGTTCGAATAGATCGAAGATATTAATTAGTAGTTGTACATCAAGAAAGTTAGTAAGAATAAGAAATAGTTTGAAGGAGAAACATGGTCATAATTAAAAAAATGTTTTTTAGAAGGATGATATGACATTTTTGACAGTTTGTCATCAATTCATTACTATAACTAATTAACTTTTCTGTTTTAGAAAGATTTTAATCGATTTATTCTCGACTATTATATTGTACTAACAAATCAAAATAAATAAAGTACTTTATTATGAGTCATACTCTACTGATACTATGCTATGAACTAATTTTTAACTTCTAAGGCAGAATTAAAAAGTAATTAATGAGTATTTTTCACTACTGGTTTGTATTCAAATGTAAAAATTTGATGAATTCTTATGTAATGTAAATCAAGCAAAATCTATCAATATCCTAACAGTAGTTTAATACGTAAACTATCATTTATCTTCTGATTACTATTCTATTGTAATATACCAATAGTTATTCTCTGATTGACAATCAACTGTAAATATTTATAAGTATCGTAGTATACCGGTGGTAGTATGAATAAACATGCAACATAGAATCATGTTATTCATAATATATTTCTCTCAATGAATTTTTTATTCAATAGAAAATAATTATTTATGACATAAATTATTTCTAAAATACATATTGAAACTTGAAAAAAAAAAGTTTCAATTGACATGCAATATTTAACTTACTTGTTCGTACATTCTTAAAAGCCATATCATCTTTGTATAATAGAAGTTCAGTGTCTAAAAAATAAAACAAATTTTTGTTAGTTTTTTTTTTTTTATGATTAAAATGTTATTTAATAAAGAATGTTATCTAATTTAGATATGATAAAACAAAAATGAAAACTTACCAGTATATAAAAATTTAGGTAATGGAAATCTAAACGATCTATGCATCATGGTATCTGATGATGATGAACATAACAAAGTAGTAAAATAAAGTGTCAATTGATCGTTGTTCGTGCTTTCACTCATTTTATACTCAAAGAAGGATAATGAATTTTCGTATACTTAAGTAATCCTTTATTTATCGATATGAATATTGAATTTACGATTAGTAACAATGAACATGGTACCATTGACGAATAACTAAAGAAATTTGATCTCTGTTCTCATAATCATTGTCATGATCAAGACAAAAAAAAAATATACGATAAAACGATTCTATGTTGATGGTATTTCTCATCATCATCATCATGAATTGATTATCTTATCATAAATGACTTTTCCTCCCTCTTATTAGTACGATAGCATGTTTAAGATGAACAAATCAATGACACGGCACTGTGCAACAAATACCATATATAGTATTTGTTTGATGTCGAAAAAAAAAATCTATAGACGACTATTGTCAATAATCTAGAAGAAAATGAACGTACGTGTCATCATGCTACTAAAATTTCTCAGATTCTATGCTTTTTTTTTTCTGATTGCACTCTATGATGTCTATAATTTCATAAAAATAAACTTAGATATATCAACAAATAATCATGTTGTATCCGTTTGTTGATTGATTCAATCAATGAATCAATTGATTAGAAATAAAACGAAGCAAAAAAAAAAATCTCTATCATAACACAACAAAACATGCATTCTATTGTACTTACCATATCGATTTCGACATGGTCGTGGTTCTTCTAAAACAGAATAACGAATATATCTATTGTTATTATAATGACTACTGTGCACGCCGGGTTTCTTCGATCTATATGTAATTGTTGTCATTTGAAGAATGTATCCAAAAAAGAAATGATTAAAAATCAATAACAACAACAAAAACAAAATCGTTTTGTCTGCAAGTCGTGAGACCGATATAAATATATATATATATACAGTACGATGAGTGTGTATATGATAAAAGAAGAATGATGATGAGTGAAAAGAGCAGAAAAAGCAAATGTCTGTAGTATACAAAGGTGCATACATTATGCTACAATCTTTTTCTGTTCATTTCTGTTGTATATGCCTGTTTAATTGATCATCATGCTCCCTTTCATTGTCTATGAATGGTTAGTATATAAATATATTTATATCGTAGATATAGTTCAGAATACTGGACAATTTTTCGACCACATATGCAAATTAATAGAATATATAATTTTTGTCTTCTAATTCGTAAAAGAAAAAAAGCAGTTGAATTTTTTTTTTTATGAATTATGTATATATATATATATATATTAATTGTGTAGATATAACATAATTACTTTCTTTTGATGAAGTATATTTAGTTACAAGTTCTTTCTTCCTATTTATCGTTTAGATAATTGCTATACTACTCACTCGTTTTTCTCCTTCATTCAACCCGCTTGTCAGAAGAACCTAGAGGGAGAAAAATCATTTTCTTGTTTGATAGACTACTGCTGTTCGATAAACATGTTATGTACAATAAAAAGAACGAATGATTGTATGAGTGTGGCAATCCCCAATCGTGTATAAACAAAAGAATCTCAATATTTCTTCTTCTTCTATTATGTACCATCATCATCATCATCATCATCCTGTATCGATTAGGAGGATAAATAGAAAAGCACAAAATTAATTGATAACAAAAAAAAAATGACCACCTTAACATAAAAATATATGTCACCGTTATCTTTCTATCAGTTGTTGTTGTTCTTATTATAAGTATCGTAAAAATAGACTTACGCGAACGTGCTCTTTCGAAATAAAATCCACTAGAATCTTTAGCAGCTGTATTGTTAATTATAATGTCATCAATACATTCGTCAATCAACGTACTGTCAGTAACTCGTCTCCACAATTGAATAATACCTATAAATAGTTAAAATTAAATATACTAGAGTTAAATTTTTATATTAATAATATACATACGTTCATAAGCGAATGCAAATCGTTTAAATAATGGCAAAAGTAGTTCACCAGGAGGAATTTGTTTTTCATGTGATTTTATATGTGAATAAGCAAGTAATATTTGTTTATCAATGAAAACTTTATATTCAAGATTATCCATAACTGCATGAAGTTTTGCACGAGATAAATATGGTTCGATTAAATTTAATATAGCTTTATGTTGAAATAGACGATTTTGAATATCATCACATGAACTTGGTGTATGTGTTGTTGATATAGTTGAATATTTTCTTGTTGTTATTGGTGTTGAATATGTCGATGGTAAAGTTCGAGATGTTGTTGATTTTGTTTCAAGATTATGTAATGCTTGTTGACAACAAACAATTGTTGATTCTAATTCTTGACGTATGGTACCTTCAAGATTTTTTTGTACTAATGATGATGTTGATGAAGATTTTTTTAATGAATATGTATTTATTGTATTTGAATGATCTTGTTCAAAATAAAGAATACATTCATCAATTGTATCTTTTTGATGTAAAAGACGTTTAAATAAAATTGGTTGTATATAAGATATAATTCGAAGTATACTAGATAAATTTGTTAATAAACGTTCATCATCCATACCAATATCTTTTGTTTTTGATATTAAAGATGTTGCTGATGTTGATGATGTTGTTGATTTTTCTATAAATGTTGATGCAAATAAACTAATCATTTTTGAAATAATTTTTTCAGGTTTAAGTATACGTATAGGAAACATATCTGGATCATAAATAAATATTTTTGAATAGATTACTTCAAAAATTTCAATTGAAAATGGTAGCTGAGCGAGTAATATATCAATTGATAAATGATTGGATAAAATTTTACGGAATGTATTTGAACTAAGACGATTAATATAAATAGCACAATCATCATAATTATGTGTTTGAAGAAAATGTGAAATACGTGCAGATGCTATATCAACAGGAACATTACGAATACTACTCATCATTTTCAAATCTTATGATAAATTCAAATAGTAATAAACATATATTACTTTTATTGTTATTCCATTGTTGTTGTGATATGTGACAATGCGTTGAGAAGTTAGTTAGATTGATGAGAAAACAACATTCGTCTCGTTCGCAATACTCTATTATGTTATGCTTTTGCTATCACCTTCAGATAGCATTGGCTTGTTCTTCTTTTTTTCTCTTTTTCTTTCTTTTTTTGCTGCTTCTCTTCTTTCTTATATAATTGTCGACGTCAATGGTATTGATCTATTATCTATCTATTGCCACATGCATACAAAAAGATTCCCTTGACGATGAGGATAATGTTTACGACTATACATATACAGACCATCCTCTTTTCTCTTGTATGGCATTGACTTATCGATGACGACATTAGTCCCTTTCTAAACAGACCTAGATGTACAGTCGCTCTTTATGTAAACACGACACATGAATCAAATCAGAGATGGTGTTATGCCTCAAGACAAAGAAGAGATAAAAAAAGAATAATTATTTGTGATTAGACAAAATCGATGTGAGAACATTTAAAAAAGAAAAAAAGAAACATGAAATATTTCATTGTATTATCATTCACCTTTATGATATGATTATCTGATTTAAAAAAAAAATTAATGTCAAAAAGTAAAAGAAATATTTTAATTTGTTGAAAGAATTCGTTCTTATATTTAGATTTCAAACAAACTTCAGAGCTAGAAGGTTTTCTAGCAGTATGAAAATATAGCTACAATCTATTACTATAACATTGATGATATCAATATCATTAAAAACAACTTCATGGATAATCTATCAACTTATCTTTATAAACTCAGATAAAAGAAGTGTTAACATTTAATTTTTCTATCTATAAAAAAAAGCCATCAATTCATAAAGAACAAAATAAAATGAATCGATTTTATCATATCATTATTTTCATGCCTGTGGAAATCATATTTCTTGTTCAAAAAAAAAAAAACATCAAGCAACAAAAGAGTTATCAATATAACAAGACTCCGAAAAAATTTTTATTAGAACACATACTACATAAATGAATAACTACTTTGACAGTAACATGAAAGAGATATTAGTAAATAAACTAGTCAAGAGTCTATTTAGTATTGTATAAACATACAATCGTCTACGAACTTATTTCTGCCATTCAATTATTCATGCTACAGATCAGAGATGGACAAAGTCGCACCGCGCCGTTGCTCACGCCTACGCTGCACTAGTCTGAGCTTCGATGAGCGCATGCTTAGAGCATCCCGATATTCGGTGGAGTTTGAGAAATTGATTGGTAGAGCAAAGAGAAAGAGAGATATACGTAGCGCCCAGGCGCGAGCAGTGGCGCGGTGCGATTTTGTCCAACTCTGCTACAGATAAAATGCTAATTTTAAGAGAAATTTTTTTTTTATATGCAAACTATTTCATGATTGATAATCTATTACGATACACAACATTAACTAAATATTTAATGGTTAATAATATTCGTACAAGTATATCTAATTCAATTTGTGATTATTTTATAAATTATATATACATCCATGTAATTTATCATTCTTAGATAGACATAATATCAAAATTTTATATAACTTTGTTTCTCTTAATCAAGATTAAAAATTCTATTAGATTCAAACAAGCATCAAATAATATTAATTATCCATCAATAGACAATATTCAATCAAAATAACGATGCTAATTAATAATCAAACATATTATTATTTATTTCAGTATACTATATAAAATATAAATATCACAAAATTAAAATAATCACATCTATTTTAATATATAGAATTTCAATTAGATATGTAGTCTTTTTTTTTTTTGTTCGACGAAGCCAATATTATTCATAAAAATATCACGATTGATAAATTCGTTTCTATATTAATGATAAACAAATGAATATAATCAACTAAGGTTTCTTTTTCATGAATTGAATTTTCTCCAAAAAAATTAATTCATTAGAATATTCAAAACGTCAAATGAAAAAAAAAAAATTTTTTTTTTTTTCTAAAATTCTGTTATTTTTATTTAAATTTGTGCGTGCATATTACATTGATTGAGTTCATTAAAGCGACAGAGAACAAATACACAAAAAAAAAAAAAAAAAAAAAAAAAAAAAAAACAAAAGAGCAAGAGAGAGAGAGAGAGAGAGAAATAATGACTGAAAAAAGCTAAATAGAATCCAATATATAGATTGGTTTTTTTTTAAATAGCTTTTCTCTATTTCTATGTTTCTTTTTTCTATTTTGGAAAGACGAGCAAGATGAAAAAAAACAAACAAACAAATAAAGGAGATAAAGTTCACTGGCGTATAGCAGCGAAAATGCACTGAATTTGGAAGGATTATTTTGAATGAGGCGACAGCAACAAACAAAAAAAAAATATATATACACATAGCCGCACACACAAAAAATCGCACGAATGTGCATCTTAATAGTTGTATATAACTGTAATATGAAATGACTGACGAAGCAAAAAAAAAATGCGCACAAATGTGCAATAAGGTAAAGATGGAGAAAAGCGTAAAACTCGATATCTCACGCATGTTCAAACAAGCACCCAACGCACAAAAAGAAAACGAGACAAACACACACCGGACCAAAGAGAGAGAGAGAGAGTAAACAAGATAAGTAGACCAAAACAAAATCCAACTATTTAGCTCTTCATTATATTTCGTTTGCTATTTATTTATCGACGTATGATTGATTGATATATATATATTTTTTTTTTTTTCTATTTTTCTAATTTATATATGTTTATGTCGAAAGAACAAGAAATATCTGAGTTATTATTTTAGACAGAAAAAAAAAACGACAAAGAAAGAAAATGAGCATTCAAAACAAAGAGAAAGAGAGAAAAAGAAAGAAGTGTTTGCATTAGTCTTCTTTTGTTTCGTTTCTAACGAGACGAAAGGCTTTCTATGTACTTTTCGCATTTTTTTTGGCTTCTAATGGAAAACGACTAAGGGACAAAGAAAAAGAAAAAAAAACGTCTATTCACTGTTTTGACTGAACAAGCTTCAATCCCTGATGATAATGATGATGGTATTGATATATGGGACAAATAGATAAACGCATGTTACTGGAAGCGAGATAAACAAACACCGGACATGGTCAGCATGGGAAATAAAAGAGAAAAAAAAGAGCAAAAAAAAAAACACAAGAGGACTAGCACACAACGATAAGATAGAATACAGTGTGTATATTTGTTCGCAGCATCACTGTAAACAATATATGTATAAGTTTTTTTTTTGTTTTTTATCGTAAGACGCACATACGCACAATTATATTTTTTTTATTTCGTCGTCATTATTTTTGTCATGAGATCCATTGATCTAGTCGTTGTATTTCACTGTTGTGAAAAAGAAGAAGAAGAAGAAGAAGAGAAAACAAACATTTTTTTTTGTTTTGTTTTGTGCATTCAATAAAAGCCAAATGAAGAAAATTATTGCGCAATGAACAGAAAATGAAAAATCAAGAACCGACATCAGACATTTGTGCAGAAGAAATTAGTAAAGAGGGTTTTACATATATATCTAAAGTCAACATTATCATTTCGATAGACAATGGAAGGAACTCGAGAGACCCAACGCGTCATTCGAAGGACGGACAACACATCCTATCATCAGCAAAAATGTGGATAATAATAATAATACAGTAATAGTAGCAGCAGCACATGAAATAAGAAAGAAAATTTTGCTGTTCAATTTAGAAAAGAAAAAGAAAATTAAATTTTTTTTTTTGTAGGTTTTTATGTTTTTGGTATGGAAGAAGATTTCTCACACACTCTATTATTGCAAAAGATACACACGCACACGGCTAACTACTATTAGAACGAAGAATTGTAGTAGAATAAATCACAGGAAAAAGAGAGAGAGAGAGATAAAGAAAAACAAAAAAAAGTGCGCAAAGTTTTTTTTTTTTTTTTTTTTTTTTTTTTTTTTTTGTCAAAAATCGAACAAACGAAAGAAAGAACAAAAAAGAAGAATGGGCAGGTTAGGAAAAGTATGAGATACGTTTGACTGACTTTGTATATATTTTCTTTTGTTGTGTTGTCTATATAATATTTCTTATATATATATATATATTATTTTATTGCCACGGGATTGGTTGTTGGGAATTATTTCCCCACATATTATTATCAAAAGATATTTTTGATTGAAATGGATTATATTCCATATCTTGATCATGATTACCACCATTACTAGCAATTGACATTGATGAAAAAGCTTGAAAAAAATTTGATTTATCTGGAATGTTAATATTTGAATTCATCATATGATTATTATTAGTTGTTGTTGTTGGTGGTCGAACAATAGTTGAACCTGATGATGATGATGATGATGATGATGGTGGTGGTGATGTAAAACCATTATTAAACATTGAATTATTTCTATATGAATTATTATTTGTTAATATTTGTTGTTGTTGTTGTTGTGTACGTTGACCAACTATTTTACGTGGTGGTACACCAGTAAATTGCATTGGTGAAGGTACTTGTTGTTGTTGTTGTTGTGAATAAGTTTTTGTTGGTATAGTTGATTGCATAAATTGTTGTTGTTGTTGTTGTTGTGGAAATTTTTGTGTAGGTAATGATGATCGATTAAATGTACCATTATTATTTATTTGTTGAACATTAGGTATATAGTCAGATGTTATCATTTCAGATATACGTTCGAGATTCCACCAAAAATCTTTACTCAAACGTGTTATCCATGCACTATCATCACGTAATAAATATCGTTCTAGAAAAAAAAAACAATTATAAAAAATAAATTTATTTTTTATTTACCAGCATTCTCAAATACACTCCAATCAACATCTGGATCAGTATTAATAGGTGATGATGTCGATTGATTCGTTGTAAATGGATCAGATGAAGAATAATTACCAAAATCACCGAAACCTATATAAAAATTTTTAGTAATTATTTTCTATTTTATTTGATTTATCATCTTACCAGAACAAGGTTGATCCATGGTCATCATCATAATTTTTTA